ATTCAAAGAGGAACCCCGGGTCCGAGAGCTCAGTGTTCTAGCACATCGTTGGCGGGTTCAGTCTATAGCACAGCACATTCCCTCCTAGCATACCTAGGGGAGACTCCTGAAAGCAGACTCAGGAGTAGCCTCAAAGCACTACAGCGATGGCCACAAAACAAAACAAACAAACTAAAAGGAACCAGTGAACCCAGGGAAATAGAAGCAGTAAGAAACGCAGGTTTGCTGTCTGGCACTACTGTTGCCAGCAGTTGGTGGCCCTGGGCATTGCTGGGTATGGCCCAGTGTTCAACAGTCCCACAACCTCTGGCTCTTGCATTGAACCCATGCACCAAGCATCCCTGGATTGGCCTCTGGAACCCTCCAAATGCTGTTAGTAACAAAGCTGCCTGATAAAGAATGCAGGGCAGACAGACTGCAGGGTCCCCAATTCCTCTTACCACAGTTCCAGGGACAGCTCCCGAGACTTCTCAAGCTCAGCCCTATCTGGGGAAGAGACGCAGCCGTCGAGCGAGGGATCATCTGCCCAGACTTGCTGCAACAGGGTAGTGAACCATTTATTGAGCGGGTTTGGCACCACCACAGGCCGCGCTCAGGGCGGAATCAAGAACGTAGCTTCTGTTCCTTGTTTTACCCTTGGCTGGAATCTGCCATGGAAGTCAATCCTGGGCGCAGGGCCCTACGGTGATCTGGACTGTGTTTCTGCTCTGGAGCCACAGGCTTTGGGGAGAGTGTCATGCCCTAGTTCTTTGTAACTCAATGAGACATCCAGGACATTGAAGCGAGGAAGACAGTTTCTTTCATGTCAAGGGGTCCAGGGATTGGCAGGTGCATGGAACTCAAACCCGCTCAATAAATGGTTCATTCCTAGACTGCAGTTATACTCTAAAACCACATTCCAAAGTGTCAATTAGGATCATGCAAGATTAACCACCCTTTTCCTTCCTTCCTTCCCTCCCTCTGTCCCTCCTTGCCTCCTTCCTTTCTTCCTTCCCTCCCTCCCTCTCACCCTCCTACCTTCCAGCCTTCCTTTCATCCTTCTATTCTTCCTTCTTTCCCTCTCTCCTTCCTTCCCTCTCTCCTTCCTTCCCTCTCTCCTTCCTTCCCTCTCTCCTTCCTTCCTTCTCTCCTTCCTTCCTTCCTTCCTTCCTTCCTTCCTTCCTTCCTTCTGTCCTTCCTTCCTTCCTTTCTTCTTTCCTCCTCCCCTCCCTCCCATTTTGGAGTTATTTTAGCTTCACAGCAAAATGCAGAGGAAGGTAGAGATGCCCCATTGCTCTCCTCCACAACCACACATGTGCAACCCTCCCCCTTCCAGGCCCCCCCCCTCACACACACACCTCTCACCCCAGGTGGCCCCTTTGTTCCATTGAGGAACTTGCATCCACAAACCCCAGTCACCCAGCTCCAATTTCCTTGGGGCTTCTTCCCGCCCCTCTCAGGGTGAGTGTGGACAGATAGGAAGGACTTGGGGCCACCAGGAGTGTCACCTTCAGAGTTGATCCACTGCTCAGAAGCCTTGGGAGGCACACTGCAGCACTCACGCCAGGCAGCCTGGTCCGCGATCCCTGGCTCAGAACTCAGTGACAAGGAGACCCCAACATCCGAGTGAAAGCAGAAAGGAAGGTGCAGAAATCTCTGGACTGTGTGGCCAATTGTAGGATAACACTGGTTTGTCCTTTCTCCCTTGCTACAGGGAGCTGAGGTTTATCGGGTTACACCCATCACAGTGCTCCCAAGTCACTCCCATTCCTTTGTTTATCAATAACCTCTTCTCTGTGCTCGCCTCCCCAACCAGTTAATCAGCTTTTTCCCTAACCAGATTCTGTTAGTTTGTAAGGTCAGATCACTCTAAGGACACTGAACTTGTATTGTAAGTTAATATTGCCTTTCTCCTCTCCTTATTTGAATAGTTTACTTTAAATCAATGTCCTTTTTGTATAGACAAAGGAAGACAGTTAATATTATGCTTTTATAACTTGGGAATAAATTGTCTCCAAACAATCCGCACTCTGGGGCATCTGCTTTCTCGACTTAAACCTCAGTTTCCCTTAGTTCCTAGCACCCCAAAAGCAAGGTCCCGATGAGGGACTGAATGGACCCAGGGCAAGCTGTGAGCTACCCTGGCATCGAAATGGGCCAGGCCAAAGTGCCACGACACTCAACTATAAGTTGAGAGCATGGTCATGGACAAATGCTGTCATGATCCAAAAGTAACGACTAGTTAGAACCCTGCTAAGGATAGAAAAGACTAATCTGGCCTGAGCACTGTAGCCTGAGATCGAGATGACCCCAGGAGAGCAATTCTATAAGCTTAATGTATCTCTTACTTTGTCCATACAAAATGATTAATATTATGAATGTTTATATGTTTGTTGGACAAAGAGAGGAGAAACACACCTATGGGATTCTGCTCTTGGGTGGGTCATCTTGCTGAATGAGAATGTGTCCTAGAAGCAGCTTCCCCTTCCCCTGAGGGAAAAACTTTACCACTGTTGATTGTATGACCACACCTATGTTAATCGTCGATTGCCTCGAGCAGGCCCCAGTAACGTCTCTTTCATCCTAGCCCTGAGATTATATTCAAGGCTTTTTAGGAGAATGAGACCCATCATTGTTACTGGTATTTGGCATATTTGGTGCGCCACGGGGAGTTTGCCAGACTCTGCCCTGTGGGCAGGCTATATTCGATAGCCTGCAAGTTTGTCCAGAGTAGGAATGAGATAATGAGATATCATAAAAAGATGTTCTGGTAAGATGTCGCGCGGCCGAGAATGCGGCCGCGCGGTTCCGGGAGCTGCATTTTGTAGTCTCTGAGTCTTGGCCGCTGATGGGATTACACGGCGCCAGGGGGCCAGGTGGTGGGTGTGACCCCCGCCTACTGGAATTTGGAGGATCTGGGTGGAGGATGCTCGACTCCAATTCGAGTAGGCTTGGAGATCTCGGCCCCGGAACCCGCGTGGCTTTGTCCCTCTGCCAGTACCTTCATGTGTGCGGAGAGTGGTCTCACTCTCCTATGTGTAATTTTACACCTATATGGAAGGACCAATCCCTCATGCTTTGGGATTTAACTGGACTATAAGAGAGGACTGGGGAATCCAGAGCCAGAAGGAGATTGAAGGGGGATCTATAAGGAGAATAAAGTAGCCTGGGAGAGGAAAAAGCAGGAGGAGAATCAGAGAATGGAGACAAGATTGGAATAAACTGCAATTGAGACCAACCAGCCTGGACCTCGTTCCTTTCTTTGCCTGCCTATTAGCATCGACCTCCCCAGGGTGGGGGAAACGGCCCAAGATTACCGAACGCGGGTGGCAGAGAGGGAGAGAGAGAAAGAGTGCCACAGCATGGAGGCCCCTTTGTATTTTATTTTAGTGAATACACAATCACAGGCTGGAACAATAGCACAGCAAGTAGGGCATTTGCCTTGCATGCAGCCCACACGGCCAGCCCGAGTTTGATTCCTCCGCCCCTCTCGGAGAGCCTGGCAAGCTAACGAGAGTACCTTGCCCACATGGCAAAGTCTGGCAAGATACTCGTGACTTATTCGATATGCCAAACACAGTAACAAAAAGTCTCACGATGGAGATGTTAACGCTCGAGCAAATTGATGAACAACGGGAGGACAGTGCTACAGTGCTACACAGTCAGAGTCTCGAGCTGTGTGTGGGGGCCACAATGGGGCCTGAGTGGTTTTTACCCTGAGTCTAGTGAGTGTGGCAATTTCACACAGTGAAGCCAGATTGGTACCAGGAGCTCTGTCACCAGGGTCAATGGCAAAGAGCGAGGCAGAGGGAGGCTGTGGCATGGCCAGGTTGCAAGCTAGCTATGACAGTCTGGGACAAGGTGATCAGCTGGTCAGATACGCGACACAATTTCTATTCCCCACCTAGGCCCCTGGTTTCAGACAGGTGAGCTATTGTTTTAGCTGACGGATACATTAAAGACACTTAGTAGATATGTCTAATTTAATAGGTACATTTAGAGCTGGCTGGAGCCATAGCACAGCAGGTAGGGCATTTGCCTTGCACACAACTGTCTGGGCCAACCCGAGTTTGATTCCTCCACCCCTCTAGGAGAGCCTGGCAAGCTGCCGAGAGTATCTCGCCCGCACGGCAAAGCCTGGCAAGCTCCCCGTGATGTATTTGATATGCCAAACACAGTAATCACAAACACAATAATAGATGAACAATGGGAGGACAGTGACAGTGACATTTAGAGCAGCACTGCACAGCACTGCACTGTCTTCCTGTTGTTCATCGATTTGCTCGAGTGGGCCCAGTCTGGGATATTTTCATAGCCTGGTCAGAAAGTATCTTTAAAGTAAAATATGAAATCATGATAATCTCCTATTCTGTTCTTGCCTGGTGCACATTTGTTGATCTCACGTCTAAACTAACTAAACCAAGAGTACATTCTGTTTTTTTTTTGTTGTTGTTGTTAGGATTCGATTTCCCACAAGTGAACAAGGCCACATGCACCTAGAATAATGTAGGGTGACCCCCTTAATGCCATTGTATTAAGTCACTGTGACATTACCACTCAGGAGATCTTCCTGTCCCCTGCACAGGGAAGAGTCAGGCATGAGCTCTTAGAAAGTGTCCCCAGGACAGAGTGATAGTACAGCGGGTAGGATGTTTGCCTTGCACGAGGCCGGCCCAGCTTCAATCGCCGGCATCCCGTATGGTACCCCCATCCCCAGAATCCCTTATGAATTATTGCAAGGAATAATCAGATCATCACTGGGTGGGAGACTCCCAAAACAAAACAAAACAAAAACAACCCCCAAAACAGAAAGTCAGAAAGTATGGTTTGGCGCTCCAGAGGCTGAATCAACGAGAGCTTCATTTCCAGTTCAGAGGGAATTTCGAGGCAGAGAGGAAGTCCTTCTCAGGAAGCAGTAACGACATTTCTAGATTCTTCCTCTGTAGACCCACCCCAACCAGTGAGACAAAGGACTCCCACTACTGCGGCTGCCCAGGGCCAGGGTGAAGCCCTGGAACCTCAGCCCTGCCTCCGGATGCCTGTGGACATCACTGGTTCTGAGGGCGTTTTCTCATAACTGAGTAGCCAATGGCACCCAGAAGTCCTAGTCCCACTGTCACGTAAGTCGCGGTCTCCACGGTCTCCACCTGGAAGAGAGCACACATGCAGAGTCCCAAAGCCCAGGCACACACTTCCTCACTTTCCCCAAGGCCTGGGGTCGCCTCATCTCTGCCCCAAGCCCTCCCAGCTGGACCCCCAATCTTCTCCTGCATATAATGCAGTGGATTCCCAACAGGTTTCATTTCCTGAGAAGAGAGACCCCGTGACACGCCTTAGCTGGGTCTTGCCTGCACGCGAGTGTCAGAGAATGGGCAGGATGGAGTGAGGGGGGCCCTGGGGTGGGAGAGGGGGATTTTATTTCTTCATGTGTGGTAATGGGTGTGGACAGTGCTTGGGATTCTGGGTAGAGTAAGGGGACCCAAAGGGAGGGAGATTTTGGAAACCACGTGACTGCCATTGGGGTCCCCGTGCAAAGGGACTGCACAGGTACAGCCTGGAAACTTCTCTCTGTGCCTCCTCAGCCTGGACCCAGGTTGGCCCATTCTACGCACTGTCTTGGGGCACCTCAGATATCCACCCCCATCCTCTACCTCCTGACTGTCCCCCTCAAGCTTCTCTCCTGTCCCCTCCTCCTTTCTGGCCCCTCCACTAGTCGCCTCGAGGGTCTTGAGGGCTGCAGGTGGCTGTGCAGAGTCCACCTGCTAGGGACAATGGTGGCAGTCTTGCTTGTGTCCTTGATTTCCTTGTGCTCTGGGGGACAATGAGCTTGTTGGCTGAGGGGCTGGGTCTAGAGATTTTGTGCCGGATCTTCCATACAACTGTTCTAGAATTCTGAGCGTTGGCTGAAAAGGCTGCAGTAAATGCAAGGGCTCGGGTTCGATCCTCAGTACCAAAGTCCTCTGACAGCGGGGTATGTCCCCCAGGGGCTGGAGTGATAGCATTTCGGGTAGGGCATTTGCCTTGCACACGACCAACCCAGGTTCGATTCCCAGCATCCCATATGGTTCCCCAAGCACCATCAGGAGTAATTCTTGAGTGCAGAACCAGGAGTAGGCCCTGTGCCTTGCTGGGTGTGACCCAAAAAGGAAAAAAAAAAAAAGGATATGCTTCCCAAAGTGTTCTAGTGACCTTCAGGGCTACACAGAGCTTAGGTGCCCCTTTCCTGTGGGATCCGTGGGTTCAGGAGATTTGTCTGGTCCCACGTTGGCCTGAACTCAACCTATGGAGCTATAGGAGTGATGTATCCATGGTGACATGCCCGCGGTCTATCTCTGAATCAATGCTCATAGCGACACCCAGGCCCAGAGAGTAAGTGACCAATCCAAGTAACTCCGTGGATGAGACAACTCTGCAACGGGAGCTGAGCTTTCCTGACTCCTGATCACAGGGTCCCAGGAGATTTCTTTGCATCATCCCTGGCTCTCAACCTGTCACCCCAACCGGAGCCGACCAGCGAGGACCTTACCTGCTCAGAGTGAGACTTGCCATAGCGCAGACGCGTGACAAAGTGCTCACAGTTTCCCGAACGCACAGAGTACGGCATCTCCTCTCCAACTTTCGCCTTGGCCACGCTGATGATCTGGTACACGGGGAGCGGCAGGTACTTGTGGTCTAGGTAGTTGTTGACCCGATAGCGGCAGTCGCCTACCACATCCTTCAGCAGCTCCCGCTTCACCACCGCCCGGTTGCTCAGCACCGAGAAGAGGCTGGAGGAGCCGGCACCGGCGTACTCGCCTGCAGCATGACGGGGGAAGAGGGGGCGGGCATGGGGGCTCTGCCACAGCTGGGCGCTGTTCTTACACAGGTCGATACTTGATGCCAGGGGTGTGGGGAGGGTCAGAGTCACAACCATGCTCACCGCATGAATATACATCATCTACGGCCGGTCTGCCTATCATGGCTGGTTAGGGTTTCGGTTTCAACCCATACAAACACAATAGGAAACTAACGATTTGGTGGAGCTTTAATAGATCCCCATTTGTATTTCTGAAAGAGATTTTATCTATCTTCAAGAACCTTATGCTTAAGATTTTTTTTTTTTTAGTACTTTGGGCCACACCTGGCAATTCTCAGGTCCTACTCCTGTCTCTGTGCTCAGGGCTCACTCCTAGTGGGGCTCAGGAGACCAGCTGAGGTGCAGGGGATCAAACCCCAGGTGAGTGGTGTGCAAAGTGCAAGGAAAGTGCCCTACCCACTGTACTACTGCTCCAACCTGTTTTGGTTGTTGTTTTGGTTGGTGTTATGGGCTACTTGGCTTAATGATCTTGGATCACTTCTGGCAGTGCTCCTGGAATCATGCAATGCCAGGGTGGAACCCAGCCTCCGGCTTGCAAAGCATGACTCAGAACACTGAGCTTTCTCTTTGGCCCCTCTTTGATTTACTGTTCAGAGACCAATCAGTCCCTCCATTTTGGAAAGCCAGACTCCATTTTTTTCCTCAGGGTCATGAGTTTACCAGCTAGTAAGAAAAACATCCCAGACCCAAGGGCATGGTACAAATACCCAGACATCTGACCACAGGTAACAAGGATGATTCAAGTCAGTGTAACAAGATATGTTAACTGCTGTTTCCACTTCTGTACCTCCCCAAGACCACGAGAATGTGCCCGGTAGCAGGCACCCGGGGACGCAGACCTGCACGCAGGGTAGGCAGGAGGGCAGGGGGTTTAGAAACCTCTCCCTGCAGGCGGAGGTCCAAGTCTCTTAGGCTGGGGAACCCTCAGTGCTGGGTTTCTTGTATGAGTGTGTTCTAGAGTGTGACTTAAACCTCGAAAAAAATGTGTTCTGTGTCTGTGTGTCTGTCTCTGGTTGAGCTCAGGCTTGTGGCCACTTAACAGAACCCACATGCTGTAAGGTTGTGCCTGTGAAGCCCATGTGTTTCCTGGACATGTAAGTGTCCTGGTTCTGCTGTCCACTGCCTTTGTCATCAGCTGATCTGGTCGCTCAGACTCACGGGTCACAGAGACCCCTGGGTCTTGGGCAGAGCATTTTCATGCCACCCCAGGATGCTGCTTCTGGGAGAAGCTGCAACCGATGCTCTCATGGGCCCTGGTTCTGGGGAAGCCTCTGAGGGGAAAGGACCTCCCCCCCACCCAAGCACACGGCCCCTGCTGAGGAATCTTCTCTAGCCCAGAGAATGCGGGCTCCGGGCTGCTGTCAGTCACTTCAGACTGCTCCCAGGAGTGTGGCTCAGAGCTGGGAGAGCTGGTGGGGAGGGAGCCCAGCTATGAGGGGCTCAGGGTCAGCTGGTCAGGATGGAGCCCCGCTGTGGGGGGACTCAGGGGTTAGCCCTTTGGGTCCATTGTGATGCTCTGGGATGGGCTATGGGGTCCCCCAGGCCCAATGGTGGGAGAAACCCACTCATTCCCTGAGTTCGCCCCTTTCTATTGTTAGCTCATATCATGAGAACGGTTGTCAACAGCCCTTACTTGGAGGCGCTAGGTGGACCACGTATCCGTCTCCCACGTAGATGGCCCAATGCTGGTAGCCAATGCGGAAAATCTCAATCAGGTCTCCAGGCTTCGGCTCTTCCCCCAACTACGACAGAAAAAGGAGAGAATCTGGGCTCAGACCCCGGGCTCCTGGGGAGACCCAGGCCAGGGCCATGATGGGGCCTTCACCGTGGGACTCGTCTGGTGAGGCCTTGGAGAAACAGAGCTGCCATGATCATGGCCCTCAGCCGTGTCTCATACTACAGGGTCTCCCTTGAGCTGGAACTTAGAGGCAAAAACAGACTTTGTTACTTTGGAGAGTGGCTTATCCCTGTGAACATGCACTCTGTGTGTGTATGTGTGTGTGTGTGTGTGTGTGTGTGTGTGTGTGTGTGCGCGCATTTGTATGTGTTCTATATGTTCTTTTGCACATATATGATGCATGTTGAGCATGCATCCCTTGTCTATGCTCCTGTGAGGTAGCAGATAGGCACGTGCAGAGCTGCTGTGCCCCTGAAGCAGGTGTGTGTGGAGCCTGTCACCCGGAGAGGTGCCCAGGCTTGTTCAGTGACACAGGTAAGGGAGTCCAAGGGGCCCGTCATGCCTCCTGACCCTGGTTGTTCGAGCCACCCTGGACTGACAGCACCCCTGATCGCTCTGGGGTCACCCAGCTTCCTACACTGAGGGGTCTGAGCCTCCATCAGTGCCCCCTTCTGGCCACTTCCTGCAATGCCCCTTCCCTAGGCCTGGGGTTGAGAGAACGGGTGGGGGTGGGGTGGTGGAGTGTTCCCTGCTCCTCGCCCTGCTCTGAGTCCCCTGCCTTCCCCTCTCCTCCTTTTTCTTGGGGGTCCTGCCCTGGGCACTGAGCTGGGTCAGTGACAATTTTCCATTTGTCTCCCTTTCTGTGACAAAGTCAGTGAAGGACAGAACGTGTCCATCTCCTGACCCTGGTCACCCAGAGAGACAGGTCCAGCTCAGCTTTTCCCTTTGTCCTGCCAGTGCTCGGGGACCTTGGGGATCCGGACGTTTCTTTCATCTCTTTCCTGCTGACAGATGTGTTTAGGGACCCCACTCCTGTTCAGTGACCCCCCCCTCCAGATTGTGACCACCACTGAACTCAGAATCACCCTTAGGGCATCTCTCAGCCCTCCCCGCCACAGGTCCCCCCGAGTCCCCTTCTTACCCACAGTTGCATCCGTCTGATCCTTTGTACATCCAGTTTCTACGCCTCCTCTGCCTCCCACACTTTTCCTCTGAGAGGCTGAAATCCGGCCAGCCTTCACCAGTTCCCAGCCCCTGCCATCTGACATCTGTCTCTCATGGGTCCCATTTCCGATGTCTGCAGCGTCCTGTGCCCATGCTCGGCCACTGCCAGCGCTCCTGTCCCCATGACCCAAAGAAGGTGACAGCCTGGCTCAGCCTCTGAGACTTTGTGCAAGGAGGGGGATGGCGGCTCAGCAGTCCTGGGCTCCCCATCTCTCTCCCCTTCCCACTCGGCCTCAGGCCAGCTGCCAGGGCAGGGCAGCGAGGGGCGGCCGCACCTGGACGTGTGTGGACCTTGTCCAGCCAGAGTGCATGGGGCCTGGTGGCAGGAAGCTGAACTTGGGCCCTGGCTGGAAGGAAATGGTCCTGCAAGAGAGGCCCATGTTCAGGGGCTGCGGTAACAGCCAGAAGCCGGGGCTGCCTGACTGTCTCCCCCCGCCAGCACATTGCCCCCAGAACCACTGACTGAGTGTTCCCCAACTGACAGCCGTGAAGGCCAGGACCAGGCCCTGGGTGAGGTGAGGTGAGGTTGCATGGTTCAGGTCTGAGCATGTAGGAGTAGGGGCCAGGAGAAGTACCAGGAAGGCAGGGGTGAAGTGGGGGGTGGTGGTGGGAGGAGGATGGAGGGAGCAGAGGCTGCAGCAAACCCCCTCCTGGGAGGGCATTCTCTCACTTTCCTAATCTGGGGGTCCCTCCATCCACTCCAGCCTCTGCTGGCATGAGCCTGTGGGGGCTGAGTCAGCACCTCCAGCAGGAACAGCTTCCAAACATTCTTAACGTCCCCCTCCCACTGCCCTTACCCCAGGGAGTTTCGGGTCCCTTTAATATTCCAGACAGAAAGGGACCCCCTACCTGCCTGAGACCTCAGAGCCTGCACATTCAGCTCAAGGAATGTGCTTTCCCCTGAGGGTCCCTACAACAGACTCTGGACACTTGTGCCCATGGGAGGACCCAGGAGGCTCCACGAAGCCTCCCACAATACAATCCAGATGGAAAATTCTCGGGACTTACCTGCGCCATCGCTGCAGAAGCCTGGGCCATGAGGTCGCTTTCTGGCACCAGCTGTTAGACTGGGAGTTTCTCTTTCACTTTTCTTTCCCTGAAGTCCCGCCTCAAACTCTTACAAGTACTTTAAAGGGAGTAGAATGTTCCTACTTCCTCTTCCACTGCCTGTAAAGGTCATGAATTATTCCCTCAAACTTGTGTCTGTGACCCTCCTCGATGCAGAGCAGGGGAAAGGAGATATCTGCTTCTGCAGGAATCTGGGCATTCTGCCCTCCTACTCTGGGAGCTGCACCTGCTCAGGAACGAAAGGCATTCAGGGGCAACCAGTATGTCCCATGGATCACTGTCCTGTGTGGACTGCAGGGTGAATTGTCAGGAGCCATAGAGGGTGCCGCGTTCTGCACAGCTAAGTTGAACAGGGTACCCTAGACAAAGGGAGAAGGACAACCGAGTAAGGAGGGCTAGACAAGCAATGCTCAGGCAGCGTCTTTATTGAACAAGCAACAGACTTTTATAGGTCTCTAGAAGGAAACATACATTGGAAAAATATACAGGAATGTTCAGGATACAAAAGTTTAGATTGCTCTAGACGTCTGGACTCCGCGCCAGGCTGTGGGGCGGGTGAGAGCCCTCCCCACCCCAAGGGACCCAGGCCCGGCAGCTGACCTCCACTGCCCAACCACCGCCATACTCCAGACCGCTTTTTGGACTGCAAAGCAGCCACACAACACATTGTAAGACACTCCCAACCATTTATGCCTCTTGAAGAGCCCAGCAAGCTACTGAGACTATCTAGCCTGCACAATGAGAGCCTGGCAAGCTCCCTGTGATGTATTCGATATGCAAAATACAACAATAGGTCTCATTCCCCTGACCCTGAAAGAGCCTCCAATCATTGGGAAAAGACGATTAAGAAGAGGCTGCTAAAATCTCAGGGCTGGGAGGAATAGAGACGTTACTGGTGCCTGCTCGAGTAATTAGACGACCAATGGGATGATTGTGATAGTGAGAGATGTCAATGATGTTTTTCTATAATTACATCGTTTCAATGACTTAAGGACTTTCTTAATATTAACTAGCACAGGCTCCCAACAGGGGGGAAGAGGGAGAGGAGGGCTGTCCACGGGGAGAAGGTGATCTGGATATATCATTGGCTGCAAGAGGCAGAACTTAACGGAAGATGGCCTAGCTGCCTGGTGGTCACTGTCCAAGGCTAGAGTTGGCCCCTGGAAGGGATTTTCCTCTGTCCCTTGGGCATGAACAGACGGGGAGGCGGGGGCACAGTGGGACGTGAGAGGAAGATGGTGAGGGCCCGAGAGTCAGTGTGAAGAGGGGCAGTGGGGAGAAAACCAAGGCAACACTGAAGCTGTCTCTCCTCGCCCTGGCATTAAGAATGCTTGCATTCCTTCTCTATCCTAGCTGCCGACTCCCCCAGCTCCTAAGCAATGATGGTTGGAGGGATTACTCGGGATGGGAGATGTGTGCTGAAAGTAGAAAAAGGATAAGACATGATGGCCTCTCAGTATCTGTATTGCAAACCATAATGCTCAAAAGCAGAGGGAGAGTCAGAGGGAAATTGTCTGTCATAGAGGCGGGGGGGAGGGGCGGTACGAGGAGGAGGGCGGGAGGGTTACTGGGAACATTGGTGGTGGAATATGCACACTGGTGGAGGAATGGATGTTCCATCATTGTATGACTGAAATTCAAATATGAATGCTTTGTAACTATAGCTCACAGTGATTCAGTAAAAAAAATGCTTGCATTCATTTTCAGCAGATTATTCATAACAAACAATATAAAAGAAATGATTTTGGTTCTGCTTTGGTTCTGCTTTGTGGTTTAGGATGGAGACATCCAAAATATGGTGGTGGGAAGGTGTAATGGTGATTTGATTTATATTCAAATATTAAATGTAATCAAATATTGTGAACAACTTTATAAAAATAAAATAAAATTTAAGAAACAAAAAAATTAAAAAGTTTTTTTTAAAAAGCATGCTTTCATAAAGCCAGGGAGAAAACTTTCTAGGGGAGTTTTAAAACTGGTTGTTCTGCCCAGGTTTTGGCTGCAGTGGCAGGTTGTAGGCGTGAAGGATGACTTCAGAGCAAGGGTGATGTCTTGTTCTCAGAATTCCAGCACTCTAAGAGGGCCAAAAGCTAACTGCTTGGCACAACCACGAAGCCCAGGACATTTTGAAAAGCTCAAAGGAAAAGGAGTTGGCCCCACTACGCAGGATCCTCTGTGGATCCCAGTGGTGAGCACGAGGACTTACAAAATCCCTAACTGAAACCAAAGCACAAAAATCTGTTAACTCTACAACTGTACCTCATGGTGTTTCACTAATAGAAATTTTTAAAAAAGCCTGGACCCTTATTCCAGGGTCTCACTTAAGCCTCCATGGCCCTAGAAAGTCATTTCTTGATACCTTAACATGAGTTCCACAATGGGCTGAGGGACCAAGAATCCATAGTCACATCATTCTGGATATAACAGAAGAGGGCTGAGTCCCCAGAGGTGATGGTTGGTCAAGACAGCTGTAATACACATAATCTCTGGTCAAAAAGGCAAAACATGATGAAGTAATCCCAACATCTAGAAGGACACTTCAGGAGTTATAAATTCCAAAACAGAATGTCATGAGGCCGGTTGTTGGAAGACGTGATCACCTCTACCTGGGAAAAGTCACTGGTGTAGGATAACATTGATTTATCATTTCTCCCTGGCCTCAGGGAGCTTAGGTTTATTAGGTTACACCCATCACAGTGCTCCTGAGGCAGTCCCATTCCTCTGTGTTTATATTTAACCTCTTCTCTGTGCTCTGTTTCCCCAACCGGTCAATTAACTTTATACCCAAATCAGAGTGTTGATTTGTATTTGCAAGTGAAATACTGCTTTTCTCCTTCCCTTATATCCTTTTGCATAGTTTACTTCAGAGCAATGTCCTTTCTGTTTAGACACAGGAAGACAGTTCATGCAATGCTTTTGTAAGTTGGGAATTAATTGACTCTGAATAACATTCACTCCTGGGCATCTGTTTTCTCGACTTAAGCCTTACTTGTCCTTACTTCCTAGCATCCCCAAAGCAGGTTCCCAATGAGGGACTGGCTTGACCAGTAAGCTGTGAGCTACCCTAGCATCGAAATGGGTCAGGCCAAGTGCCATAATACTTAACTGTAAGTTAAGAGCATGGCCATGGACAAATTCTGTCATGATCCAAAGAGCAACAACTGGATTAGGACCCTGCTAGGGTTAGGAAATATTAATCTGGCCTGAACACTGTAGTCTGGGATCTATAGCAAGATGTACCCAGGAAAGCAATCCTACAAGCATGATGAACGTCTCCAGGGTACAGTCCCGACTCCTGCTAATCTCTAGTGGCCCAGATTGGTGCTACCCTTGGCCCCACCAGTCTGCCCCATGCCAGGGCCCCCCACAGGGCTCACAGCACACGCACCCCTCAAGGTAACATCACTGACACTGGGGGTGAAGCCCAGGGCTATGCTCTGCACTTGGAGCCCAGTGGAGGGTCACCTGACCCACCTGCAACCAATCAGTGTGAGGAAGCTCAGCCAATCATGTTTTCCTGGAACCCCTCGGAAGCCTATGGATGAGTGGGGTGGGGGCACAGGACAGAGGCCCAAGAGGCCTGTGCAGGACCCTGTGGGGAGAAGCAGGAGCCCAGGGCGGGAGCAGGGGAAGCCACAGAGAGACGGGGAGAGACGGAAGAGCCGAGAAAACGGGCACATCCTGCAGGGGCAGCAGGTGTAGCGGGCACCGGGGCCGCAGCCGGTCACGGCCCGCTGGACACACAACGCCGGCCACGGGCCCTGGGTCCTGTTCATGCCCATCAGGATGGGCCTGTTCCCGTGCTTCTATGGAAGGACCCACATCCTGTAAGAGAAAAGCAAACACAGACGCAGACCTGGAGTACAGCCCTTTATTAAATCTCTGTCCACCAGCAGGAAGGGGCAGCACGGGCGGCATAGACTTGCGGGGAAATTCCTGCTGCCCAACAGTGGTCTGGGCTTGAGTCGGCTGAGAGTCCCCTGAGGAGAGAGAGCGCGGGTAGTCTTGTCACAGGGACACGAGTCCCACCCGGGCTGCCCCCCTAACCCAGCTCCAGCCCTTCCCCCCAGAGCACCCCCATCCCTGTGGCCTGGGGTTCCCGGGGTCCAGATGGGCTGCGAAGCCCCCACCTGCACTATCTGAAATGAGTCCCAAGGGTCCATCAGGGTGACCAGAGGCCAGACCCAACCCCTTTGGGTAGGCCAGATGTTGGGGTTCGAGGTTCTTACCTCTTTCCATTTCCCGCGTAGTAGTCCCTCGAACATCGCTGATTCACACACCACCACTATCTACCAGCACCTCAAAGGGATCCTTCTCCTGCAGCAGGAAGAAGAGGGTCGTGGAGTGGGGCTCTGGATATCACACACAGACCCAAGAGGTCACCAGGAGGGACCAGCTGGCCCGTGTTTGCTTCAGCGGAACCTCGGGGGAGCAGAGAGACCTGGAGGGGCTCCCAAGGGGGCAGAGCCCTCGAGAGAAGGAGGCGCTTCCCGGCGGGGAGCATCAGAGGGAGAGGAGCTGTGGGTGCCCGCTGTGGACACTCGGGAGGAACACGGGGGCCTGGGGCTGGCACAGGCGGAGGAAATCGACAGGGGGCGCTGTGGGGAAGGGGGGAGTGCCTGGAAGTCTAGGTCGGGGCTGGCCAATCAGGAGCCGGGGAACAAGGGAGATGCTGAGGCACCGGAAACCTATCCCGGTGCTCAGCGCCCTGCAGCACCAGTGGGCGCTCAGGCTCATCTGCTTAAGGAAGGCCGGGACTGTTTGTTCCTCCAAAGGCGAAGCTTTCACTGCAGATATCCCCTGGGTGTCACCAGAAGGGGCTTCTGCAGTAGGAAGTGGATCCTGGCGGGGGTGGGGACCCTTCATGGAGCAGGAGAGACAGAGAATGTTCCCTGTGTGGGCACGCTCAGCAGAGCAACTGTCACCCTGAGATTGCCTGACCGCCAAGCAATCTTCTTCATAAATCTCCTGTGTCCTACTTCACCGATTTCACAAGGAAAAAACTGAGGTCACTGTGTAAAAGACTCATCCAAAGCTACTCCACGATGATTCTGAGATGCCTTAGAGGGGTACTAAGGACTTCAGAGAGAGGGGAAACAACACCGCAAACAGACCAAAGGGAATATTGTAAGGCGAAAACAGCAGATGTCGGTGAAACTGAGCATTTAACTCAGGAGAGAGAAGAATGCAACCCCACTCCAGGGGTAAAAGGAAAAGTTTCAGGGGTGAAGGCAGCTGCCTTGCAAGGGTGAGGCCCGATGTGCTCCAGCACCACAAAAAAAGGGGCTGATGCTGATGCCCCAGTGCTCGTGTGTGTGCATGTGTATGTGTGTGTCTCTGTGTGTGTGTGTCTGTGTGTGTGTGTGCTCACAGAAGCCCCACCAGACAAGCTCAAAGGACTGTCAGCACCACAATTCATCAGAGTGACCTGAGAAATCACACAGGTTGGGCCATCACCACGACATCCCCTGGACACGGAGGTGCCCAGACATCCTCAGTAACTGACTGAGCCCCATCCTGGGCTCCACATTCCCAAAATGTCTGATTACCGCACAAAAAAAAAAAAACCCCTTTTTCCAGGGTCCTCCTCTTCTTTACAAGGAGCCTTCTGCCCTTTTGGGGTGTCCATAGGGTGGGATCACAGGGGTCAGTAGCCGGACAACAGCAGGGAGGAACAAGGGGAGCTGCCCCTATGCACAGGACCCACACTGCTCCCCGCCAACTCCTCTATTCCTGTTTTCTCTCCTGTCCACACCTAGTATTGCTCTGCCACCCCTGAGGTGCCCGGGTGCAGCCCAGGGTCTTTCTTATGCCAGGCATGTGCTCTGCCTCTTCACCCACAGCCCCGGCCCTTCCTCTGCCCAATCGTCACAGCCCCCATCCTCTGGGTTCTCGGATCTCTGTCAAGTGTCAGGCTCTCTGAAGAATAAGAGCCACCTCCACTGTGGGGTGGCCTCTCCCTGACCTCTCCAGTGAGATCCAGGCCTGTGTGGCTGGTGCATGGGATCACATACCACCTATCGTGCAGCTTCTAGCCTGAGTGGACAGATACTGAGCAAGGTGGGCCTCAGTTTCTCCATCCGTGAAATGGGTGACAGAACCTGCTTCTCACCAGTGATAAGTAGAGCTCAGCTTCATCTTCATCTTCAAAGGCTGAGCTGGTGTCACTTTATCTCCCACCCCAACCGTGACTTTGGAGGGTGCACAGTGGCTCTCTGTCCAGTCATGCCCAATCACCCTCTGGTCAGTACAGTCAGGGGGGACAAGGCTTAGGATGGGGACATGGCTGGGAAAAGGGACACACCTGAGCATGATAGGAAATTCCATAGCGTAGCTCCATGGCAAATTTCTCACAGTTCAGCTCGAACTGGCTGTAGGGTCTCTCCTTCCCCACCTGTGCCAAGGCCATTCGGGCGATCTTCGCAGGAGGCCATACTGGGAACTTCCCATCATACTTGTTATTGATCCAGAAGTCACACTCGGCAGCCACGTCTGACAGCAGCTCCTTCTTCACCACAGCTGGAGGTAGTATGTCTGACAGAGACCTGACATTCTTTGGTCCTGATTTCCTGCAGTCTGTGGGTCACAAGAGAGGACTCAGTGGTCACCCTGCACAACCCCACGGAGTCCACCCTCTCCCAAGTAAGCCACCCCATGGCCCCTTTCCCTACAGAGGGGATGAGCCCAGAAGGACTGACACTTGCTGACTCTGACCCAAAATTGAGTCCACTGAGCCTGGGTCTCTGGCGAAGGCTTTAGAGTCCCCAGACTCTCTTCCTCTCATTTGTTTTCTAAGGGGCAGAGGGAAGCTGGGTGGAACCTGGGTCTCCCACATGACCATGCCCTCCTCCCTGACCCAAGCCTCAGCTCACTGCAGGTTCTGAAGCAGAGGTCGGGAGTTCTTCCAATGCCCCAAAACAGATGTTGCTGGAATTGTTGCATGAAGGTGGGTGACATGGGCACAGGTGACTGATGCCAGCTCCTGGTCCCAGCTCACCACCCACTTACTTGCGGCCAGTCACCAACCCTGCAATGCCCTGAGTCCCAGCTGGGAGGCCTCAGCAGGCTAAGGCAGACCGTCCAGGGCAGGAGATGTCCAAACTCAGCACTATAGCATTGTCGCATTATCCCCCCGTTGTTCATCAGTTTGTTCGAGGGTGCTCAGTAACATTGTGAGACTTGTTGTTACTGTGTTTGGCATATCGAATGTCATGAGTAGCTTGCCAGGCTTCTGCTGTGTGGGACAGATACTCTTGGTAGCTTGCTGGGCTCTCTGAGAGGGGCGGAGGAATCGAACTCGGGTCGGCGGGCTGGTGGTGTGCAAGGCAAACACCCTACCTGCTGCGCTATTGCTCCAGCCCGTTCAAACTCTGCATTATCAAATTCCTGGTTCTCTTCTAAAGCTTCCCCAGGAGCCCAATGTCTGACTCAGCTTCTCTAGGGGCTGTCTGTGTGGGATGGGGGTTATTGCTGTCCTTCAACATTGATCATCACCAAAGGGCAATTCAACACCGTGTCTGGTTCAGCTTCTCCAGCTTCAGGAGCAGGTAGGGGTGCAGGAGACCCCAAAGGCACTATAGGGACCTGTGGCATCCCTCCCAGCCGGAAGGGGAGGCTTCAGGCTGGAGAGGAACCTGGGCACCAAATTGGGCAGGGAGGCACGGGGCTCACCAGTAGACTTTGCACCCTCATGGGACAGCCTGGCTCCATGATGGGGCACCCTAGAAATATTCTGGGTTCTGGAGATGGGACTTGGAGGGACGCTGCTTGGCATGCTCTGACCAGGTTCCACGCAGGCGACACCTGGTCCAGGAGCAATACCGGGTGTGGCTGGGGACCACCAGCACTGCAGGGCCTGAGCATCACCACAGCCTCTGTCCTGGGAGGAACCCAGAACAGGAAGAACATGAACTGAGGGTGGGACCTCAATGCCTCCCGAGGATTATTCCAGAAGACTCCCTAAAATTTATACCAAGATACATTTATGTGTGTGTGTGTGTGTGTGTGTGTGTGTGTGTGTAAAAACACCCTACACTGAAATCTGTCTCAATATTTCTGACCCCAGATTTCTCCTTCAGATCTCCCCTCTCTGGAATTTCTGGCAACTGAAGATCAGCACGTGACAGGCTATCAGGGAATAGCACTTGTCATTGTGGCCTCAGTGCTAGTCCCATGTCCAGGTCTGCAAGGGAACAAGCACAGTGTATCAGCAAAACCAACAGTCATGTCAGGACATCCTCAAGAGAGGCCCCGTGCTTACCTGGGTTAGTCAGATGGACCACGTAATTGTCTCCCACATACACGGCCCAATGGTCATATTCCAGCGAGTGATTGTTGAATTTACCACCACGGGAAAACTCAATCAGGTCTCCAAATATGGGCTCAAGACAGATTATCCTCTGCAAAAGAAAAAGGGACAGAGGGAGGTGAGTCGTTGACAGGGAACATACTAGAGCATTCTACATCCACCACAATTGTAAGGAGATAGGATCAGGTGAGAATCCTCCTTTTCCTATCTGCAGGAAGTGTAGAGGACGAGGCTTCCGTCACCATAGAGAGGCATCCCACTTTCTTGGGGGAGCTGAGGTGGAATGAACCTTCAGGACAGAGTTGACAAGGTCCCTAGAGGAGCTGTGAGAGGAGACTCACAAGGAGGAGTGCACAGTAGGTGGGAGCCCCCTCCTTGCACGGAGCAGATCTGTGTCAGTGAGGGAGGCCTGTTTCCCAGGAGGTCTAGGTTCTCTAGGCCATTGTCCCCCCATCTTCTGGTCCCAGGGTGACCTCATGTTCTGAATCTCAGGCCAGCCTGTGGACACTGAGCTTAGCCCCTGCCCACGTGGGCCTCACTCCCGGGAGTCACAACTGCCCCCACAGAGGAGGGGACTCAGGGTCAGGAAAGGCAGGAGCCTGTCAGCCTCTCCTCCGGGAGAGACGCCGAGATTGTATCTGAGTGTTTACCCCAGTGCACCCCGAGACCCCCACAATCCCAAGGGCAAGCCCCGCGCAGCTGCAATCTGGGTCCAGGCAAGAGGCAGAAGGGGGAGACCAGGAGGAGCTGGAGAGCTTGGGGGGCTGTGCCCCTGTGGAGCAGCATGAGCAGGGAGACTGTGCCCTGGTCCACTGCAGAATGGGGGCGCCTTCACAGGAGTTTCTGGGTGTGCCCTGGGTCTGGCCACACCTGCTGCCGTTGCCTCAGCTGAGCCAGGTGCCCTGAACAGGAATTGCGCTGTCCCCTGAGACCTTGGGAGAAATGATGGACTCAGGCCTTTGACCAGGGGTCAGAGTCAACGTCGGGGGCGGCAAAAAGACAGAGCGAGCACTTCAGCCCCTGAAAAAATTTTTAGCCCCATTTGTTGCTCTTGCACAGCGGGTAGGGGCTTTACCTTTCACGCAGCCAATATGGCCAGCCCGAGTTCGATTCCTTCGCCCCCTCAGAGAGCGCGGCAAGCTATCGAGAGTATCTCGCCCACACAGCAAAGCATGGCAAGCTCCCTGTGACTTATTCGATATGCCAAACACAGTAACAAGTCTCACAACGTTACTGGGCCCGCTCGAGCAAATCGATGAACAATGGGAGGACAGTGACAGTGAAAGTTGTTGCTCTTTATTAAAATAAAGAGGCTCTGGAGACACCCCGAGACCATTGTTCCTCTCGGTGAGATTCGCTGCTGTGGGTTCAGCCTTTGGTGACCTTTGATGCATTCCAGCACTCCAGGAATGTGTGTGTGTGTGATCACAACACCTCTTCAGAGGTGCTTAAAGAGACTGTCAGCACCACAGTTCATCAGAGTAGCCAAGCTACCACAGGGGCTGGGGTCAGCACCGTGCTGTCCCCTGGTTATCCGGGTGCCCAGAACAGTCTCAGTAACCACCTGGCTCCTTCATTGGTCAAATCCACTTTCTCCAGGGTACTCGACCTCCTTACAGGGGTCCCTGTGCCCCCTTAGAGTGTCCAGGGATCAGCATCCTGGACACCACAAGGGAGGACCCAGGCGAGCTGCCTCTGTTCAGACAGGACCAGCCTCCAGGGGGCGCCCTCAGCCTCTCTGCCCCTCGAGATGGCCACTGGGAATCGGACCTTGGCAGTGACAGAGTAGTTAGTTTAGGTCAACACTGTCAGCTTTTCTTGAAGAGACAGGGAGGCTGATCTTACCCTGGGGGACAATTGTGCCCAGTGGACGATACACTGACCGGCAGACACTGAGACTGAGTGCGGGGCAAGGGGGTGCCCAAGCTGTGGGCAGTGCCTGTGCTCCAAACCACCTCCTCTTCAGGGTCACACTCCCCACCAAGTCCTCCATTCCTGTTTTCTCTCCTGCCCACACCTACTATTGCTCTGCCTGCCCCTGAGGTGCCTGGGGTGCAGCCTAGGGTCTGATGCATGCCAGGCATGAGCTCTGCCTCTTCACCCACAGACTGGCCCCTCCTCTGCCCAACCTGACAGCCCCTGTCCCCTGGGCACTCGCCTCCCTGACCAGGGTTGGGCTCAAACCAATGTAAACCTGGCATCCACTGCTGGGCTGCCTCTCCCTGACCCCTATACGGACGTCAAGGCCTTTGTGGCAGCTGCCCTGGAGTCATATCCCACCTCCAGGGCAAGTGCTAGAGTGTGGATGATACCTGAAGCACTGTGGGCCTCAGTTTCTCCATCTGTGAAGTGGATGAGAAAATTTTGCTTCTGAGTAGTGTGTCCAGCCTAGCCCCATGTGCTGAGACCATGCTGGTGCCCCTCCACTTCCCACCCAGGCGGTGACATTTGAGAAGGGGGACAGTGGCGTCTGTCTGTCCAGCTCATGCCTGGAAGTCTGTCTGATCCAGAACAGTCAGTGTAGACAATCCTGGGGATGGGGGCAATGGTTGAGGACACACCTTGTCGGAGATGGGTTCTCCATAGCGCAGCTCCGTGGCGAAGTGCTCACAGTTCTTCTCGCTGAAACTGTAGGGCCACTCCTGCCCCACCAGCTCAGAGGCTATTTGGACGATGTTCTGAGGAGATCTCACTCGGCGCTTACCATCGTGTTTGTTATTGACCCGGTACATGCCCCCCACCTCCGACAGCAGCTGCTTCTTCACCACGGATTGGGTGTCTTGGACAGACGCCGCCAAAGTCGATTTCACAGTCGGAATCATAGTGTCTATAGGGTCACAAGAGGGGACTCAGGGTTAACCCTGCACAACCACAGGGAGTCCAGCAGCCCAAATAAGTCACCCTGGGACCCCTGACCCCATGGAGGGGATGAGCCCAGAAGGGCTGACACCCGCCTGCTCCACTCACACCGGGGCCCACTGGGTCTGCCTCTGGCAAAGGCTTTGGAGTCCCCAGAGACTCATCCCCTCATTTCTTTTCTAAGGGACAAAGGAAAGCTG